TAATAACCCCTAAATACAACAAACATCCAACAAGTGCTGTCATTTAGAAGATACCCTAACCCCGTCATTCAGCAATTACATTTTCACCCTGATCAAAGTCAATCAGACACTTGCCCATTCCCAAGCTTCCAATGAAACTAGATGCACTGATTGTTATTTTACCACCTAGAGCCCAACACATAACAGGTGCCTCTGTAACAACATAATCAGAGTTATTGATTTAACTATCAGGGGTTTCAGTGTTGTGGTTGGCTGCTGTGTATTCAAAGAGGAATTAACTGAATAAAACTGATTTATGTAACAAGTTTTTACCATCAATGTGTTGCTGTACATCACAGGACATAGTATAGAATAGAATAGAATAGAATAGAATAGAATAGAATAGACGTGTATTGTTATTGTATATGTACAACCAAATTATTGGTGCTCCACACCAACTGTGCAGGAATAAAATATAAATAGTAAGACAGCAGCAATAAATAATACACAGGAGAAATATATGCAATCAGAGGGATATATACAAACTAGAGGTGGGGTGTGAGGGCATGGATCCATCTGCTTCTAATTTTGGTTAAGATGGGCTGTTAAGGAGAGCTGAAGAGTGAGAGGGAGAATGAAGGGAAGAAATAAAAAGAATATGTTGGATGAAGAGCAAGGACAAGGGAAGCCTGAGAGGGGGCAGCTGGAGATGCGAAAATAGTAAAATTGGTGTGTCCATTCAAACAAACAAACAAACAAACTGAAAATAATGAAGTGATAATGAAGTGGATCGCCATGAGGAAGCAGCCTTTGGACATTCTGCTTCAACTGATCAAAACGAGACTCCTTATTTACGTCTTTCACTGCTGTAGTTCTTCTCAGAGCTGTTAGTGTAAATCATGTCTCGTTGCTCAGTGAAGCTCAACCCTGCAGCCAAAGATATAATGGCCTCATTAACACTCTCATTAAACAACACCAGTGGAATAAAGACATGGACGACTGCCACCTTCGCCAAAGGACACATCCTAGTTTGCACGCTACGGGGACACCAGCGCCTCTGTGAAGCATCCTTTAAAAACAAGCTCCATCTATCATGTATTCGCATAGAGCATTCCCAATGTTTACTGGAGAAATGCTTTGTGAGGGAGAAAGAAAATCTGTGGCCATCGTATTCCGGGAATGAGTCCGGGCATTTCATACGCCATCAACACTCCACTAACTGAAAAGTCCAATCACAGATATTTGAAGAGGCAACAAATGGGATTTATAGAGTTGTTGCTCCCTGCATCGATGCTAACGCTCAGAAGATAAAACCCTGTGGGCCAAACAGAGTCCTGCACAAACAAAACAGGAAAACGGATCTATACTGCAAGGTTTCTGTAATCTTCAAAACAGACATGGAGCAACAAGTAATTCATACATCACATTGGATCCTCTAGCAATGCATTATCGTTAAATGACAGAAAATGCAATACTGCCGTCCTTAATGTATGGCAGTGATTTAAAATGAAGCTTCTGCCCTTTGTTAGTCTGTGACTGTTTGACATTATTGAAATATGAGCTTATTGCCCAAACTTTAATGGAGGAGTGAAGGGAGTGACATTAACTTTAGCCGAGGCAACTAAACGTAGGGGATATTTTGGCTTTACTCGATAATTGGTGTGTTTCTGGTGATATTATAAATATGGGATTTGGAAAGAAAACCAATCAGTGTATGCAATAAATAGCTCTGTCAAACAGGTAATACTGGGCACTGTTTACCTTGTTTTCAGCTGTTAAGTGTGTTTTACAGCTAACACAAGGCTTTTTTGAATATATATTATAAGATATTTCTCATTTATCGGAAACATGAAAACTGTTTGTATTTGTGTAGTTATGCTGAGGTTATATTGACCAGAAGCATTCAAGATTTTAGAGTAACCATGGTATCTAAGGCAATACACGATCCACACAAATGATTCTGTATTTCAGACCCTTCCACTGTCTCCACTGTCTGATGCTGCTGAGTGTAACACAGCAGGTCTGGTTGTGACATGAAAAATCCTTCCTCCACGTCCCGCTCTAGCAGAGCTGTACTTCATAAATCTGCTCATTAAGAATTTAAAGATTAACCCATAAAGAACCATTGAACTGTAAAAACTGAAATTACGATACAATGAGAGATTATTGTGCTGGAAAAGTGATATTTTGCATCAATCATCCAGAATGAATGATCGCCGTCCTCTGCATTGCTAAAGACGTCTTCCAGCTGACCAATCTGATGCGAGAACTTAGAGAAATCTACTTTCTAATGAGCAAAATAAAGTGGTTCACGTTTCCTGCACTGCTGTTAGCTTACAGAGTACCCATCCGTCTCCAGGTTTTATAGAAGATGCTGACACGTCAGTCAATGACGGCTCGTCCTATTCATTCATTACCAATGTCACTACCACACGGAGATCGATACTGCAGCTACTCCTCTGCTCTTGGGGGATTTCTTCTGTTTAATATTAATGCAAACTGATCTTTTCTTTATTTTTGGTAAATGATTGAAATTTAAAAATCATCGTGCATCAACATAAATGGAAATCACATTTGCAAATGAGCATGGCGGTTTGCCAGCTGCTGCCAGAGTCAGTCAATGACAGAGTAACTCGACTGACAGCTTGAATCCCAAAGTTGGCAGATGTGACAGATGGTGGGCTTTAACGTGACATTTCACGGGCTTTTCATTTCAGGCCTAAAGGAGACACCTTCTGAGAAAACCAGCGTAACTTACAGACGATAGAAACGGCACAAAACAGCCTCTTCTGCAGAGAGACAGAGCCAGAATAAACATGAAGCCACTGAATATATGAGATCTGTAGATCTATAGATATTTACATTCTGTCTCTTTGTGAAAAACATTGCTGACTTTGATTTTGATCAATTTTTTGCTGATATTCTGTAGTGATGGAGGATAAATCTTACCAACTATATTTCCTGCGGTGCCACCAACATGTCAGAAACTAACCTTGCCCCGTGTTTAAACACAACACATCAAAACTTCCTGATCTTTTAGATGAAGTTTCTTCTTCTTTCAGCTGCTCCCTTCAGGAGTAACCACATCGACTCATCTGCCATATCCCTAACACCCTCCTCTGCATGTCCTTCTCTACATCCATGTACCTCCTCTGAAGCCTTCCTCTTTTCCTCCTGCCTGGCAGCTCCATCTTCTATCCTTTATCTAGTATATTAACTTTTCCATTAGTACTTACAACCAAACAAAGTGTACCGTTTCTGCCTCAGTATTGGTAGAGTAAAAATAAACGTATTTTTTTATTTATATCAATAGTACACAAAGATTTCTTTCTGTTTTCTCCTGAGAGTTTGAGCCTCACAAGGACACAGCTCCTGCTGTTTGAGCTTCCTTTGGTTCTTTTCATTAGTTGGTATTATTGAAAAACCAGCTGAACTCCTGGTATTGTCAGAATTCATTCACAATATGCATACAGTCCGGATCAGGCAATGAAAACTAATTATTAAAATGATCATTTTTGTTCATTGGCTTCAAATGTGAAAGTTTAGTGTGTCCTTTACCTGGTGGTGTGTAGGCGTCCATGGAGCTCTGGACCACAAGCGACCGCCTCTTCGAAGGCATCGGCACCGCCATCTTTCTTTCTTTGTGCTTTGCCAGGGCTGCCTGCACCGCCTCCGTGTGCACATCTGGAAACATATGCAGGACATATAAAAAGTCTCTGTTAGATCCTTCTCATTCACAGTGATACAACGAATAATCACATAATCAGAGATGTTTTTTAAAACTACACTTCAGTGAGCTAACTCAGTGTTAGCTGTTGAATTCCTTTTTGTCGGCACAAATGAAAATTACTCTGCAGATACTCAAAGGGTGCTTAAGATTTGGTTATCCAAAATAAGAGGTTACTGGTTTCCCCCAGCATTTAATGCTTCTGTATAATACAAAGTGAGAATTGTGAATTTAAAAGCTATACACTATATATTTTTCCCCCCAAACTACTCCTAGACCAATGTACCGTCAAACATCAGGGCTGGAGAGCAGCCGACTGATGTAACTGGGAGAGGATGAATTAATACATATATTATATATGTATTATTATGTATACCTGTAGCAACAGGCTAAATTTACCCCTTATTAGCATTTAAGTTCCTTAAAAAAAGCATTCTATAATATTTAGTTACATAATATCACATTTAAAAAAGGTTTAATTATGCATCATATGTTATCATGCATGCACTAAGAGCTCTGATGTCCAGTGCAAACATACAAATTAGATGGAGTCCACCCTGCAGCAGCAGCACACAGAGACAGAGCAGCAAACAAGAGCAGGACTATCCTCTGTGTTTCTCTGTGTTTGTGCTGCACGGTTCTCTTTACAACGAGCACCATGTTCCCATTTATTCTCATTCAGTTTACGTGCACAAACATTCCCAGCCTGACAGCAGCTCCCATGAGGCCCTGTGGTTTCTGACTGGATTAGGTGCAGGGCGTGTCGGCGAAGATGTTTCGTAAATTGGTGTTTTTAAGAGTGAGATAGAGTGCTGCATACAGAGCCACAGCTGGGTTTGTTTGAATGGTGCCCACTGCCAAAAAAAGGCAAACGCCACAAACGCCGACACAGAGCAAACGGGCGTTTGGCCCGATAGTGACATATTAAGACATTAGTCAGAACGAACGGGGCTCACAGACGTCCGGTTGTTTGGCTTGTGGATGTGCTTATATAAGGGGAACAGAGGTAATTTAAATCTCAAGTGCACATTTATTGTCTCCCGGTTGACTGAGTGTGACTGTGCAGTGTGTGAAAGCGAGCATGTGGCATTTAAAGGTGCTCACATGGCTCTTCTTTTTCAGTTCACTGGGTTAAATGGGTTTTGTCAGGATTTATTATGCATCAGATCAAACTTTAATAGCTTCAATTCTCCAACAGCTTGTAGGGACATAATAATAAAGTAAGCCCAGTTCCACCACCTGTCAAGGAATTCAAGCTTTACAGCACCACATTGTTTCTTTTCTTATTGGTTTCCTGTCTATCTGTATCACCATCGCTTGATGTCAGTAGAACAAATTCCTACAAATTACTTTTGAATAAGATGCCACTGAAAAGATTGAAATCCTGAGTTAATCCTGTATTAATCTTTAGTCAACACCAGATGGAACGAAACTGAACCGCATCTTACAAGAGCTGTGGAAGATTTGTCAGGAGCTCATTGCATAGATGTAAAGCAAACACTGGATTTGTTGTAGCTCGTTCTGCATGTAGCAAGAAGACTCAGGATATCAACGAAGATGTGGTTTTCCTGATGTCTGAGAAAGTCATCAGAGCTGGTAGCAAAATACTTCAAGACCTTCAGAGGCCAAAATCTATCCAAAAACCACCAAACACTAATCAGTTTTGCCTGATCTGAAATACAAGTACATGTATTTGCATAAAAGAAGTAATATGAAGTATTAAGTTATAGCAATTATTAAACCTGTGTGAGGGGAATAAATGAGGCATATTTGAAAGATAACAGGGACACAACTAAATGCCAGCAAGGTCTCACCTGATCGGTAACGTTCGTCTCTGGAGCCAGAAGACCGCCGGCGGTGGTAGCGGGAGGACGACGACGGGGTGACGGGCGTTCTCCTCTCCTGGCCCATGGACGGATCCATTCCTAAGGCGCAGGGATGCTGATTAAAATTGTATCTAATGACATAAACAATCGTCACATTACATTTTGGCGAGAGATCTCAAGGCACCTGGTGTTTTGCATGCTCGCTGACTGACAAGGATTAATGAGAAGCAGCTATTAACAAATGGAAGCCTGGTAATAAACTTGATTACACCTGCTACCACCAGCCCAAATGTCAGCTGTGAAAAAGTCTATCAAGGTGATTCTCTCCACTGTTGGTCACAAACAAATATTCATGAGTGGCTGGAATATTGTTTTAAAAATAGTCATAACCCGAGAACACATGAAACACCATCAGCCACAGACTGGCCTCCCCAGAGCAGAGCAAGCGGCCAATTCATGGAGACTACTTCAAGAAAGGAAAAGAAGGTTTGTCTACAAGATTTCAGGCTGTGTTGAAGAATAAAAGTGGTCAAAAAATATTGACTTTGACCTTGTATAAAACACTGATTTTGTCTTATATACTGTATTCCCATGAATGTTTGCACAGTTCAATAAATCGCTACTCCCATTTCTTTTCGAGAAATGGCAGGTGGCTCAAGACTTTTGCACAGTAAGCAAAATATGTCGTCTCAGTCGACACAACAATTTGTGATTCAAAAAGTAAGAGTCCTCAGATGTAAATCATCACACTTTAAGCAAGACTGGCTTTAGTTATAACATACACAACAGATCAGTCTTGGTTCACACTTGTGCACACACACATATCTTTAAGCATGCACAAACACACTCACTCAGAGAAAACAACCTCCCTACACAGCAATCAATAAGTCTGATGATAATAACCACCCTGTTACTGACAGCTACAACCGATCCACAGTCGGTGATTTATGACCATCTATCTCAGCTTTATACTTCTACCCTCGTCTGTCTTCATTAGAGCTCTCAGCGTGGCTCGGAGTGCCGCTGTTGCTCAGGCGAAAAGCTAAAAGTTGATTAGCCAATCATTAACGACTACCAGGAAGCACAGGGATAAACGACAGATCTGGAAAACACCTCGCCTTCTTGTTTCCTCTGGGGAACCGAGAAGGATGGATTTCCCTTTCTCCCGATTCAGTCAACTAGCTCTTTGTCCTCCTTCCTTTCCTTATACTCGTTCTGCACACACACTGCACAGCTGTCTATTTGGCTGCTAAAAACAGGCTATACAACTGTTCAACAGGCTGTTTTATGTAACGCCAAACCTGTTACATATACAGTAACGGAAAAGCTCAAAAATGCAAACCAAAAACGAACTGAAGCTCAGGATTCAGAGCAGGTCACCTGCTGATCTTAAGGTTGGTGCTTCGATCCCCATCTGCTCAAGTCTGTCTGCAAAGATACTTAGAACCCCAAGTTTGCTTTCTGGGTGTGGTGTTACATGATGCGTGTCTCTTTAGGTGTTTTCATACACCCATAGTAAAGCTCATCGATGTTGAACCAGTGAGACCATCAACATAACACATTTATTTTATTTTTATTTACACAAATAAGAGATTTGCTTCGATCAGCGGCACTCTGGCTGGAAAAACAGAAAAAAATAAGAAGCTTCACATCAAGTAGAAACAGACTGCATCGTGTCAGCATGTTTTGATGTACGTTCTGAGATCTATTAGCAAGTCTACACAGTATTTATTAATCCCTGTATGACCTGAAATCTACAAGAAGCAAGTTTTACACAATAAACTTTCACAAAACACATAAAATAATCACAGATTTTCCCTCCAACTCACATCAACCACTAATTCTAACAAAAACACTTCATTTTTTCTTTTTGCTTTTCACACTATAAAAACCGTACATGAGTCTGTTGAACCAATTTGATAAATATACTAAATTCAGCTAAAATTCCTTCATAATCAGCATCTTGCTTCAAAAAAAAAATGCCTGTCTTTGGATTGTGGGAGAAAGCTGGAAATAAACACTAACACAGTTAAGCTTCTTTGTCCTTTGGCTGGTTGAGAAAGATATGAGGGGGAAAAAGCCAAATAAAGGAACATCAACACTGCACATCATCCTGTGCCAACACCAACATGGTTAATGCTGATTATAGCAATCGTAATTCTTTTTTTAAAAAGCTCAGGAAGCAATATAATTAAAAAAAGAAACCAAGTGTACTATATGTGGTTTTTTCACTTTCAGGAAATTACATAATGTGCTCTTACAGAAAATGCCCTCTCCTTACTGGCATCTAATGCAACAAATGTTTTGCATGCTTGAAGCACGACACAGAAGGACTGACAACCGTAATGTGCTGTGAGAAAGTAACTTTTATAGACCACAGACAGATCACAACTGTGCCTTTGCTATATGCACAATATTGAATGTGCATACATTCATTGAAGTCAGCAGAATAACTACATAAAGAAAATATTCATATTACACCAAATGTATAAATTTGTACGAAATTACTTTATTTCCTCTCAGAAAATGTATTTAAAAGTATTACAGCAAGTATTACAGAGCTCTGCAGTTGACAGGTGTTTTCTAGCTCCCATACCAAAGCGCTAAACATCAAACCTGATCGCGCCTGACCCGCCTACTTGAGCTTGCACAGCTCAGCGGCGGCTCCTTCTGAAAGCCAAAGTCCGATACGGAGCGGCTGAGTGAACTTCGTCATGACTTTGTGGAGGAGTTTTACGGTATCGGTGACACTGTAGAAGGACAAAACACCTGCACTGTGATCCAGGTGCACTCCCACCCTGGAGGACCAGGTATCTGGGATCGGGGTTCCAATGTTGTTATACTTGAATTCGTAGCTATTTTTGAAACAGTCTAAAGCCCAAGACTTGTCATTGTTCCCAAACACGCATTCAGCAAAGCTCCCCGTTCTGCTGATACTCTTGTATGAGACTGCTACTAAAACGCCTTTCCCGCTCCTCTCCACCTCCAGGTAGTGGCGTCCAGCAGATCCCTCTGCCGTTCAGCCCTTTCTGCTGCGGCTGAGACTTTGATATGACCTTTATGATCGTCTTTGGAACAGAGATAACAGATGCAGTGCTGATCAGTGCGACAGAACAACTTCATCACCTCTTGATGGCGAGAGCAGATGTTTTCCTGAAGACTTGCACAAGTCTGTGTTTCCTCAAGGGAGGTATATCATAGTGAGGCTGGAGGTGCGCCTCACAATATGAAGCCAAACACTGCAGACAGGACTTGGAGGCTTTTGTTTCGCTCAAAAAGCAGTTTGTAGTTCCTGTAAAGTCTGATTTTTCAGGTCTGAGGTGTTAACCAGAATTACACAATGCGTACATTTTTACATCGCTTTCACTGTAACTCAGTTATTCCGGTTACCCGTCACAAATATAAACATATCCTGCTTTCAGAAACAATATGCCAGTGACAAAAACCTTGGTATGACACAGATAATCAGTTTACTGTGGTGTGTAAGCACCAATAGTCTTATGGCTAAATAGTCACAGAGCATAGTGGCTGATAGGCAATCAGTATATACCTGTAGATAATCACAAAGAGTGTGATGATGTGATCAACCTGAATATACAGGCTTGTAAAAGCAGGTCAGTTTGCCAAGTCATGAAACAGGAGAAGACTTGTTGGCATGTAACCGCAGCTATTTTTAGAAACTCTAACCGCAGTCATCGTGTGAAGGAAAACGTTTTGGAGAACTCGGGGGATTTCTTACAACTCTGGCAAAAGTCGACAGGGCTGCCAGAAACTTCTGTTGCTAGCTCAAACAAACATAAGGACATTTTATAATCTGGGCCATGAAAGGGCCAAACAAGTTATTCATTTGTTCAAAGAACCACAGAAGTCTCATGAAAGTTTGCCCAACCATTTCGACGGTGCTTTGTAGACTTGGAAAAGGCTTGCGACTGGGACAAACTAGCTATTATACGGGGAAAATGTTTAAAACACCAATTTGAAGCAGCTGG